GCCTGTATACATCAGGTACTACATATTACACATACTGTAATAAATGTACACAGGTATGCATGACACATACTGTACAGAAATTCCATGACATGGAAATGACATGGTAAGTCATTTTAGCTGGCTAAAGAGCTCAGGCAAGCAAAGATAACATCGATATCTCACTTGTATCATCCAAGTGTTAGATAAAATATATAATTGGCATAGGAGTAGTGTGAATCTTATTAATTTAGTGAACAAATGTCCTTAGCGATGAGTAAGAACTGATCATTTTGGCTTGGGAATTAAATAGAGCTTCTCTATTGGTTCCAGAGTGTGAGGAGGTCAATGGGTAGGGGGCGGGGCTATTGGATGAAAGGAAGTACAAACAGCTGGGGGCAATTTGTTCTGCATGTACAAAAGCACAGCTTCACTTTACTTTAAAGTGAGCACAGAAAGTGAAGATTTGCTATGTCATACGGGGTCCTCTAGTAAATCTTATAATGAGTAGGTAGTACATGGACAAATCTACCTTCTTTCTAATAAATAACCATGCGATTTTTTTACTTTTAGCCTCATTGCTGATATATCTGGAGAGTGAGATCTTCTAACACACTAAAGTCTCTGACTTATAGTTTCATAGATTTTGGATTGAGATTTGGTGAGGCCCCAATTGCACAAGCAATTCGTTTCGTTACAAATCGAAATTCGGACAAAATTTTCATTATTCAGAGCTTCAGATGTATCTGAATTTCCGAATCAAAATATTAATGAATTTCAACAAATCTGAAATAAATTGTAACAAAACAAAGTATCCGAATTTGAAAATTAATTTGAAATGGAAATATATTGCAATAAATACACTAAGGCATAAAAGTGAGATGATGATTCCTACTTAGGCTACTTTACAGAGTAAAATGGAATGGAACAGAATATAATAGAATCTAAAAAAAGGAATAGAACAGCAAAAAATAGAATAGAAAATAAGAGAAAAAATTAGAAAAGAATAGAAAAAAATAGATTAGAATAAAATAGAAAGAATATAGCCATCTTCCGAAATTTGAATCTAGAATAGAACAGAATAAAACAGAAAAAATACAGCAGTCTTCCAAAAATCGAATCGAATAGAATTTAAAAAAAATATAGCCGTCTTGCAAAATTCAACTGCTTCTCCAAACATTTGTGAAAGAATGGGTCGCTCTTAGGAGCTCAGTGAGTTCAAGTGTGGTACCGTGATAGGTTGCCACCTGTGCAATAAGTCCATCTGTGATATTTCCTTGCTACTAAATATTCCACGGTCAACGGTTAGTGGTATTATAACAATGTGGAAGCAACTGGGAACAGCAGCAACTCAGCCACAAAGTGGTAGGCCACATAAAATGACAGTGCGAGGTAAGCGCATGCTGAAGCACACAGTGCGCAGAAGTCACCAACTGTCTGCAGAGTAAATAGCTAAAAGACCTCCAAACTTCATGTGGCCTTCAGATTAGCATAACAACAGTGTATAGAGAGCTTCATGGAATGGGTTTCCATGGCCTGGCAGCTACATCTAACCCTTACATCACCAAGTGCAATGCAAAGTGTCGGATGCAGTGGTGTAAAGCACGCCACCACTGGAATCTACAGCAGTGGAGACGTGTTCTCTGGAGCGATGAATCACGTTTCTCTAACAATCCGATGGATGTGTCTGGGTTTGGCGGTTGCCAGGAGAACAGTACTTGCCTGACTGCATTGTGCCAAGTGTAAAGTTTGGTGGAGCGGGGATTATGGTGTGGGGTTGTTTTTCAGGGGTTGAGCTTGTCCCCTTAGTTCCAGGGAAAGGAATTCTTAAGGCGTCAGCAAACCAAGACAGTTTGGACAATTTCATGCTCCCAACTTTGTGGGAACATTTTGGGAAGGCCCCTTCCTGTTCCAACATGACTGCACACCAGTGCACAAAGCAAGGTTCATAAAGACATGGATGAGCAAGTTTGGGGTGGAGGAACTTGACCGGCCTGCAGAGTCCTGACCTCAACCTGATAGAACACCTTTGGGATGAATTAGAGCGGAGACTGTGAGCCAGGCCTTCTCGTCTGACATCAGTGCCTGACCTCACAAGGATTGTCAAACATTCCCATAGACGCACTCCTAAACCTTGTGGACAGCCTTCTCAGAAGAGCTGAAGCTGGTATAGTTGCAAAGGGTGGGTCAACTCAATATTGAACCCTACGGACTAAGACTGGCCATTAAAATTCATGTGAGTGTAAAGGCAGAAGTCCCGATATTTTTGGCAACATAGTGTAGCTGTCTTCCGAAATTCAAAAGTTAAATTTCTAATAGACTAGAACAGGGGTGGGCAAACTTTTTGACTTGAGGGCTGCAATGGGTTCATATATTGGACCCGGGGGCGGACCAAGAGTAGATAGTAATTCATCCCCCATAGTAATTCATCCCCCATATAGTAATTCATCCCCCACAGTAATTCATCCCCCACAGTAATTCATCCCCCATAGTAATTCATCCCCCATATAGTAATTCATCCCCCATAGTAATTAATCCCCCATATAGTAATTCATCCCCCATAGTAATTCATCCCCCATAGTAATTTCATCCCCCATAGTAATTCATCCCCCATATAGTAATTCATCCCCCATAGTAATTCATCCCCCATAGTAATTCATCCCCCATATAGTAATTTCATCCCCCATAGTAATTCATCCCCCATATAGTAATTCATCCCCCATAGTAATTCATCCCCCACAGTAATTCATCCCCCATAGTAATTCATCCCCCATATAGTAATTCATCCCCCATAGTAATTAATCCCCCATAGTAATTAATTATAGTAATTCATCCCCCATAGTAATTCATCCCCCATAGTAATTCATCCCCCATAGTAATTCATCCCCCATATAGTAATTAATCCCCCATATAGTAATTAATCCCCCATATAGTAATTCATCCCCCATATAGTAATTCATCCCCCATAGTAATTCATCCCCCATAGTAATTCATCCCCACTATAGTAATTCATTCCCCATATAGTAATTCATTCCCCATATTAATTCATTCCCCATATTAATTCATCCCTCATATAGTATTTCATCCCCCACAGTACTATTCCCCCTCAAGTAGTAAGCCAAGTCCCCCCTGTGTCACTTACCTTTGCTCCGCGCGTTCCTCTCGCCGTGTTCCCGCGCCGTTCCGGTCTTCAGGGCGGACTGTGAGAGGAGCCTAGCTCCCTTCACGTTCATCACGCTGCCCTGCCTACACACATCCTGACAGACAATGTTTGCCTGCCCTGGCTGTGTTTTTTTTTAGCACGCTCCGCGGGCCGGATTAAAAGGTCCGCCGGGCCGTGTATGGCCCGCAGGCCGTAGTTTGCCCATTGCTGGACTAGAACAAAACAGGAAGAATATAACGGTCTTCTGAAATTCATATTTTTAAAGGAATAGAATAAAATAGAAAGAATATAGCAATCTTCTGAAATTTGAATAGAGAAGAATAAAATAGAAAGAATATAGCAGTCTTCTGGAATTTGAATTTCGAAAATAACAAATATATAAAATGAATTCTGAAAACGAATCATTCTAACATAATGAATATGATGAAACAAAATAATTAACCTAACAAACAAACCCGAAATGCAACTAAACACGTTTTTTCCGTTGTGCATATCTCTATATTGTACCTCTCATCATTCTCTGCTGAATAGGAAACTGAAAACAAGGACCTGGGTGCAAGAATCTTCCTGCTTCTGCTTCATTTATTCCATGGATCTGTGCTTTCTACATCACTCCTGCTGCTTGTTAAACTCCAGCTCCAGACAAAATTCATTGGCAATAGTGTACCTCTTTCCCCTGTGCCTTCTACAAAAACAAATTCTTGTGATATACAGCAATATCTTCATTGAAAGTGAATGTTTCAGTTTACTGTTGTCCACAGTATAGCTGAGATATCGACAACTCTATGATATCACAGGTATGAGTCTATTTCATTTCTTATTTCTGCAGCTTGTAAATTAAAAACTTTATATGAAATTGATTTGTGTATGGGCAGAAGTACAAAAGCAGATAGGAAAGGAGAAAATCTTGGAGTTGGCCTTGAAATACTTCCCTACCGGTCATCACAGAACAATGCTGATATGAAAAAAGTCAAGGCCCTGCTCCTTTACCAGGATGAAAAACCATACCAGTATGACATGTTTGTTATTAAAAAAAATATTTTCCAATGTTTACAATCACTTTTAAGGGCTTCGTGCAAGGAAGATCATCATCCGAACTCTAAGAAGCTGGAGGTTGATAGACTGGAATTAAACTAAGGCACTACAATTCAATTGAAAGTTATAGTTTACCAGTATTGCGCATTGAATATACAGTGATTGTAAAGGCTCAGTTTTTTAAAAAAATAACAAACATGTTATAATTCCCTGCTCTGTGTAATGGTTTTGCACAGAGTGGCCCTGATCCTGTTCTTCTTGTGTCTACTGCTGGCACTCCTGGCTTCTCCCCCCTCTCGAGTGCCCCCTATAGCAAGCCGCTTCCTATGATGGCACTCATGGGTGCTTGCTTCTGAATCAGTGCTGTATGTCCATAAGACACAAACAGCATGGATCAGCCCCGCCCCCTCCTCATTGGCTGTGCAGATAGCTCCCACTGCTGTGTCTGAGCCAATGAGGAGGGAGAGACCCAGGAGAGTCTCTGCTTTCGTGCACATCACTGGATCGAGATCAGGCTCACGTAAGTATTGGAACTGGGGTGCAGCAGCACAGAGGAGGGTTTTTTTTCAGCTTTTACAACCACTTTTAAAGAGTCAGCCTTCAGTACTACTTTAATATAAAAAAAAAATTATATCCCCCTTCACCCTTCATGTAGCTTCATGTCTGACTCTCAGTTAGATCACCCTGTATTGTAGATCCACACTTTTGGGTATATTTATTATATACATTATATTGTCAAAAGTATTGGGACACCCCTCCAAATCACTGGATTCAGGTGTTCCAATCACCTCCAAGGCCACAGGTGTATAAAATCAAGCACCTAGGCATGCAGACTGCTTCTACAAACATTTGTGAAAGAATGGGTTGCTCTGAGAAGCTCAGTGAATTCAAGAATGTTACCGTGATAGGTTGCCACCTGTGCAATAAGTCCATCCGTGAAATTTCCTTGCTACTAAAGATTCCACGGTCAACTGTTAGTGGTATTATAACAAAGTGGAAGCAACTGGGAACAGCAAGTCAGCCACGAAGTGGTAGGACATATAAAATGACAGAGTGGGATCAGCGCATGCTGAAGCGCACAGTGGGCAGAAGTCAACACTGTCTGCAGAGTCAATAGCTAAAGACCTCGAAACTTTGTGTGGCCTTCAGATTAGCAAAACAACAGTGTGTAGAGAGCTTCATGGAATGGGTTTCCATGGCTGAGCAGCTGCATCCAAGCCTTACATCACCAAGTGCAATGCAAAGTTTCGGATGCAGTGGTAGCGAGCACGCCGCCACTAGAGCAGTGGAAATGTGTTCTCTGGAGTGACGAATCACACTTCTCTGTCTGGCAATCCAATGGGCATGTCTGGATTTGGCAGTTGCCAGGAGAATGGTACATACCTGACTGCATTGTGTCAAGTGTAAAGTTTGGTGGAGGGGGGATTATGGCATGGGGTTATTTTTCAGGGGTTCGTCTTGGCCCCTTAGTTCAAGTGAAGGGAACTCTTAAGGTGTCAGCATACCAAGTCATTTTGTAAGTCAATGGTTTTTATTAACTTTTGTAAACAATTTAACTAGAAAGGTTAGAGCAAAAGACACGCCCACGCAGGGGCTATCAATGGTACATAAAAAATAAGGAAATCGGTACTGTAACTTCAGCAATGCAAGAGGCGCACCCACGTAGGAGCTATCAATAGCACATAAAATACAGAAACAGTGATATAACACCAACAACAATTTCCAGCCAAAGACAAATATTTATCGCCTCACATAATTAAACAAAAAAGAAAGAGGAAAAAAGAGTAAAGAAGGAAGAAGAAAACAAGACCAGAAGCAGGGATCTGGGAACACCAATACCATACAGCGCTATAAACCCAGACTAGCTGGGTGGGGAAGCATATGTTAACCACGGCTCCCATATTTTCAAAAATTTTCGTTGGGAGTCATTACGGATACTCAACATCTGTTCATTGAGCATCAGAATGGTCATACGGTCCCACACCCCCTGCAGAGGGACAGACAGGCTCTTCCACGCCTGGGCAATTGTTCTAGTTGCCGGCAGAACAAGATAGGAAACCAGCTTCTGCTGATGAGCCAACAGGCCCGGTATGGGGCAATGAAGCAAAGCATACCAAGCCTCTCCGCATTTGGAGAAATGGAACAAGGTGTAAAGAAGGCCAAAAACACGAGACCAAAAGTGAAGCAGTCTTGGACATGACCACCATATATGCAACACATCTCCACGATGGCAGCAACCCTGAAAGCAGCGATCACTATAGGCAGGGTTTGCCTAGGCTATACGAGCCGGGACCCAATACCAATGAAACAGTACTTTGTATGCTGCCTCCAGCGTGGCTGTATTAAATACATTAGCTACAAACGACTAGGCCATATTCCAGTTCTCCACGTCCACGATCGTCCCCAATCTCACGCTCATATATGATAGAGAATTAGGCATTGGGTGCGCTCCCACTGAACGATATATGATAGAGAATTAGGCATTGGGTGCCCATTCAAGGATGCACAGAGTAGGGAAACAAGACCTGGAGCGCCCAGATGCTGTTGGCAAAGCTGTTCAAAGGCTGATTTCTGATATGAAAAGGCGGACGTACCACGCAGTGAGGTCAGCCAGTGCTGCAATTGAAGGGAACAGAGAAATTCTGCCTGAGGGACATCCTGTGATTCCCGAAGAGAGTTCCAGGTGGGGAAAGATTGAGAGGTCAAAAAGTGTCGCACGTGCAAAAAACCATTGGCCACCCACCAAGATAATACCCCTGGCTAATCCAAACCCATGATGGAAAAAGAGGATTACTGATAATTGGGAGCAAGGGCAGAAAGGGAGACACCAAGCATCTAGAGTAGCGAACTGAATCCCACACTCATAGGCTATGGAGCAAAATGGGACTCAATGTAATCGGGCATTGGGCCGGGGGAGCCATTAAAGCATCGACATCGCAACGGGGCATCTGCAAAAGTTTGGGGACCTGCAGAGTTAATATCCTCCTTGGCAAAGTAATCTTTACTATTAGGCAGTTCCAAAAGGACCCAGAGAGGAACATCAGAGGAAGCATGCAACATAGACAGGGGCAATCTGGCTTGCCTGGTAATACATTAGGCACCCCAAGACCTCTCTTCAGTCTATGGGTAAAAATCATGTTTCTGGAGACTCTGGGGTGCCTGTCAGCCCAGATAAATTGCATAATCCTTGCCTGAAGTAAAACGGGAGAAAATGAGAAAGGAACCCGCACTGGGAGATGGTGCAAATAATACAACAATTTAGGCAGGATAGTCATTTTCACCGAATTAACCCGTCCAATCTAGGACAGGTGCGGGAATTGCCAAGACTGGATAAGAGAGGACACAGAGGGAAGCAATAGATAATAATTTGCAGTAAACAAATGGGAAAGGGATCTGAGAAATACCTTGCATTCTTAACCGAAGCCGAGGGGGAAGAATACAAGGCCTGGATCCAAGAAAGGATAGAATCCCCAAAGCCCCAACTGGACAGCACAAAAACCGCATATTTATTTTTCACATATTTATTTGTAAAAAAGTTTGAAAACAATTTATCAATTCCCTTCCACTTCACAATTATGTGCCCATCACATAAAATCCCAAAAAAAACTGTACATTTACATTTTTGGTTGTAACATGACAAAATGTGGAAAATTTCAAGGGGTATGAATACTTTTTCAAGGAACTGTGTGTGTATATATATATATATATATATATATATATTATATACACACACACACACACATATACACACACACATATACATGCATATATACACACACACTCACGGGTTGTTATTATTATTGTTATACAGGATTTATATAGAGAAACAGTTTACGCAGCACTTTACAACATAAGGGCAGACAGTACAATTACAATACAAATTAATACAGGAGGATTCACAGGGCCGCCCTGCTCCTTATACCTTACAATCTAAGAGGGAGGGTTGAGAGATACAAAAAAGTAATAACTGTGGAAGATGGGCTGATGGACAAATTACATGTACAGTTGTTAGGTGGGGGGCAGGATAGGCCTCTCTGAAGAGATAAGTTTTCAGAGATCGTCTAAAAGTGGACAGAGATGGAGATAGTCAGATACATTGGAGAAGGGAATTCCAGAGGATGGGAGTGGTTCTGGAGAAATCCTGGAGATGAGCATGGAAGGAGGTGACAAGAGAGCAAGAGGTCTTTGGAAGAACATAAAGATCGATTTGGTTGGTATTTTGAGATCAGGTTAGTGATGTAACTAGGGGCTGAGTTGTGGGTGGCTTTATAAGTTTCTGTAAGTATCTTGAATTTTATTCGTTGGGTGAGCACGAGCCAGTGGACGGACAGGCAAAGAGGGGTTGGACAGAACTGTTGAAAAATTCAAATTAAATGATTGTGGCAACTAATGAGTAGTGTTGAAATGAATAGTGGTATAGCCACTCATTAACACCAACGTAAATCAACAGCTGCCCCTAAAAAGTTAAATTGTACACTTAAACGTGAGATATTAGTGAATAGGTAGGCACTGTGCAATAAATTGTTATAAATTCAAAAATGGGACAGGCGATCCCAAAATTTCCATGTGCCTAAATAATGTAATAACCTGTAACCAGTGTTGATCAATAAAATCCGTATATATAATAAACAAATATTTATTCCTATATAGAACATAATAATATAAAAAACAAAAATATAGGTAAGAAAGGCATAATATAAATCATAAAAGTCCATGTGCCTTCACCACATGCCAAACACAAACTGATTGTGATAACAATCAAGGATTATAACAGTCCTTTGGGACATAATATTGATGACAGAAATCCATGTATCCAGACACCGGTGAAAATAAGTCAATGTCTCACTCACCAGACCTATATGACCCCGGTTAAGGTGGTCAAATAGCGCGTTCTGGTGGTATAAACTGGAAAATCCACCTCTAATTATCCCAGTTTAGTCCTACCAGTCACCAACACTCCACAGCTAATGGCCCAAGGAATGAGCATAGCCAATGGACTCTCCAGATAAAAGGGGGGTACCTTGTAGCAGGTTTTCTTTATATTGTAGTGCCAAGCCACTCAACGAAACCAAGAGAGATTTGTGCAACCTAAGTGTAGTATTTATTTATAAAGGAACATGTTTAAAAGAATGCTGTGCACTCACATGTAAAGGTGCCTATTCCACCGGCACCAGTATGTACAGTCTGTGAAGTCTAAGAAGGCCGACATGCATTCCAAGCCTCGCTCTCACTGGGGCCAGGCGTGATGTCACCGGAACCCGGAAGTGACAGAATCACGCTTCGATGTACGTTTCGCCTGGTGGCGTCTTCAGGAAGTGACGACTGCCATATCCGGGACTATTAATTATTGAAACACCAGATAAAAAAATGAAATTGTTACCCAATATGATGTTGGAGCCAAAATGGCTTGAATTCTCCTAAGGACTGATAAATATAAGTCTTTGATGGTGGGAATCTGATACCACTCTTCATGCACAAATCGCTCCAGTCCTTGCAGAGATGCCAGAGGCAAAAAACAAGCCTTGTGCTCCAAACCTTGTACTCCAAAATTAACCATAGTGGTTAATGATATTGAGGGTTCGGCAAATGAGGTTCCCAGGATAGGATGGGTGTGAGACTTCATTTTCATGCTTGTGAAACCACGATTTGCAAACACCAGCTGTGAGAATCAGAACATTATCGTCTTGGTAAATGACGCTGTCTTCAGGAAACAGTGTCTGCACCATGGGGTGCACATGGTTGGCCAAAATTTGTACATAATTTCTGGCAGTGACTCTACCTTTCAAGGTGATAATGGAGACTGCAGAATACCAAAATATGGGTGCCCAAACAAGGATTGCGCTGTCATCATGCTTTACTGTTGGCACAAGTCCTGGTCGTAAGCTTAGGACGGTGTTTGCCGCACATAACAATGTCTGGTGGTTGGGAACAATGTGATGCTCGATTCATTGGACAATATTACAGCCTTCCATTGATCGATAGTCCACAATTTATGGGTGTTGCACCACTGTCTCCTCTTCTGAGCATTAATATTGGTCACTAGTGGTTTGGCAATTGCAGTTTGCCTGTGAATGTTTTACTTATGGAGTTAACTGCGCACAGTTTTTGTGGACACGGGCTTTAGAAGACTGAGAATGAGGCCTGCAGTCAATTTTGCAGCAGTTCTTTACTTATTCCAGGTCACAATCCTGCACAATGTCCTT